CTTTCAGCTGGCTAACATTCTTTTCTGAGTTGTCCTATATGCTCTTAAATCCATGTCTTGATTTTTTAGTTTTGGTTCATTGTAGTCTATCCATTAAAAAAACTTCAATTTGGTTCTTTTTATAGAATCCAATTTTCTATATTTCCTTCCATTTCCACTTGTATTTTATTTAATATAGTGATTATATTTTACTCATTTTTCTTTCAGATAGGGTCTCACCATGTAGTTCAGGCTGGCTTTGAACTCATTATTTAGTCCAGGCTGGCCTTGACCTTGTGGTGATCCTCCTGCCCCAGCCTTCCTAGTGCTGGGATTGCAGGCATGCACCACCATGCCTGGAACAATCATAGTTATTTTAAAGGCCTTATTTGCTATCTCCAATCTTTGAATTGCCTGTAGGTCTGTTTTCTCCATTTTATTTTTCCTTTTGGTTTTCAGTCACACAATCATATTTTGAAATGGTTTACTAGCCTTTTTTTTTATATTATGTCTAAAACATTGCAGAGGTTCTGACTTCTCTTGTTTTTGGTACTGGGGATCAAACTTGGGACCTTGCATTTGCCAGCCAGGCGCTTATGCCACTGAGCTATAACCCTGGCTGCAGAGGTTCTGGATGATGTTTTTTTTTAACTGAAAAAGAATTCATTTTGGGTGGGTACAGTAGCATATGCCTGTAATTTCAGCTACTCAGGAAGTGGAGGCATTCAAGTTCAAGGTCACTTAGGCAATTTATCAAGAACCTATCTTAAAATAAAGTTTAAAAAAGGTCTGTAGCCTGGGCTACAAAGCGAGCTCATGGCCAGCCTGAACTACATAACGAGACTCTGTCTCAAAAAGACAAAAAAACAAAAAGGTCTGAGAATATAGTTTAGTGGAAGAGAGCTTGCCTAGTACACCCAAAGCCCTGGGTTCAGTCCTTGACACCAAAAACAAACAAACAAACAAACACCTTGTCTTCTGTGCCAGAGACATAGTGATTCGTCTGTGTTTAACATGATTGCAGAAGAGTCTTTTTCATCCATCTGGTCAGAGCTGGGAGAGGCCTGGGTTGTGGTTTTCCCAAAGCTCTGTCTGGTTCATACTGCACCATTGGAGCCCTGCAAGTTTCTAGCCAAGAGGCTGGGGTTTCACCAGGGCTCCATCCTATGTAGGTCCTGAATATAAATCCTGGTCTCAGTGCATCTGCTGAGAGGTGTACCTCTTTCCTCACAGTTGGTTTGTCTTTATTTCTTACACTCCTGCTTAGCTATGTATGTTTAAATGTGTTTTCTTTTTTGTTTTGTTTTGTTTGTTTTCCTTTTGGTACCAGGAATTGAACTCACGACCTTGGGCTTGCCAGGCAGGCGTTGTGCGCTGAGTTAAGTCCCCAGCCCCTTATGTTTAAATGTTTAAAAATATTCTTTGAGACAGGGTCTCACTATGTAGCCTAGGTTGACCTTGAACTCTTGATGATTCTCCTGTTTCAAAAATACTTTAAACTGGGTGTGGTGGCACACGCTTGTTATTCCAGCACTCAGGAGACTGAAGCAGGAGGATCACTGTGAGTTCAAGGCCAGCCTGGGCTACATAAATGAGTTCAAAGCCAGCCTGCACTACATAGTGAGACTCAGCCTCAAAAAAAAAAAAAAAAATTCACTGGTCATGGTGGCACATGCCTGTAATCCCAGCTCTTAGGAGGCTGAGGCAGGAGGATCATTGTGAGCTTGAGGCCAACCTGGGCTACAAAGTGAGTTCAAGGACAACCTGAAATGCATAGTGAAACCCTGTCTCAAAAAGACAAAAAAAAAAATTGCATACTATCAAAATGCAAATAGAAAGAAATGGCAGTGTGAGAAACTGAAAGTGTAAATAAAGACCAAAATGTGTAATAGATATTGGGAAATGGGAAGAAAATGTTCAAATAAGAAGAGGAACAAGGAAGGGGAGGAGAAAGGAAAGAAGGGACAAGGAAAAAAAGAAAGCCAGGTGTGGTGGCTCACACCTGCAATCCCAGCACGTGGGAGGCTGAGGCAGGAGGATCATTGAGTTTGAGGCCAGTCTCAGCTACAAAGTGAGTTCAGGACAGCCTGAAGTGCACAGTGAGACCCTGTCTCAAAAAGAGAAAAAAAGAATAATGAAAAACGAAAAACAAGGAAAGAGGGGTTCAAGGGAGGGGAGAGGAATGGGAAAAAAAAGAAGCAAGATATATCATGTACAGGTACAAATTCCCTATGATGAATGTCATCACTGTGTATGTCTAAAATGTGCCAATAAAATAAAAAGTAAAAAAAAAAAGAGAAAAAGAAATTTCTGCCCAATTTTGCGCGATTATATCTGGTAATCTGAACAACGAATTTGAAGATAACACTATGCAATATAACAACCATTGTTGAATCCCTACTGTCTTGATTAGTGAAACTCTGTATTGTTTCTAATGTTTTTAATTATTTTTTATTATCTTTAATTGTTTGATCAGTCTTTTCTTTTTTTCAGTACTGGGAATCGAACTCACAACCTTGCGCTTGCCAGGCAGGAGTTGTGCCGCTGAGCTAAATCCCTGGTCCTGTTTGATCAATCTTGCATTCTTATATCTGGTAGTACAAGCAACTTTGTTAAAGATAACAATATGTAATATAACAACCACTGTTAACTTCCTATTACCTTGTTTTGAAATTCTGTATCGTTTTTATGTTGTTCTTGTCTTGGTTGTTATTTTTTTTTTCTTTTTAAAATTAAAAAAAGAGAGAAAGAAAGAAAAAGAAAGAAAGAAGAAGAAAGAAAGAAAAGACAGAGAGACCAGCCTGGGCTACATAGTGAGTTCATGACCATCCTAAAATGCACAGTGAGACCCTGTCTCAAAACAAAACTTGGGTTTTTTTGTTTGTTTGTTTTTTGTCTTTTTGAGCTAGGGTCTTGATATGCATCTTAGGCTGGCCTTGAGCTCACTTTGTAGCCCAGGCTGGTCTCGAACTCATAAGGATCCTCCTGTCTCAGCCTGCAGAGTGCTGGGATTACAAGTGTGTGCCACCACACCTGGCTTAAAAAAAAGTTTTAAAATATATTATCTAGCATTTATATAGGAGTCCAGATCCCAGGTCAGTTAAATTCACCACTTTGTCTGAATCTCTGTAGGGGTTTAAGCAGAGGAGTGACTTTATCTGGCTACTCTGCAAAAAGATCCCTTTGTGGGCTGCTGTAGAGGTGATCACGGCCTTGACTTGAGAGTAGGATTAAAAAAAAAAAAAAAAAAAA